CTCCGCCGTCGGCCGCCGTCCAAAGTCATCCGATCCGAAAAACCCGTACACCATCACGAAGCTCTCGTCGAGCTTGTTCTACCCTTAAAGTTTCAAGAAAAAATTCCTTCCGGAGGGGCATCAATTTTACGGTCAAAATATCTAGATCTAGAGTATTTTTTGGTCAAACCAGTTTTCTTCTTCATCTTTCCGGCAATAGCCGGTGAATCGCGCCAAACCAAGGACACCATCGGGACCGCCTCGCCGAGGCACGCGTACGTCCAGTCACTATCACCGGAGATGGCAAGCCCCAACTGGCAACTCTTCCTTTTTACATGCGAGGTATGTTTGCAGCCCCTGTGCTCATCATCCCAGCGAAGTGGGCATGGGTTCGCGCAGCGCCGCAGCCCGTAATTCGATCAGGTCTAAGGCTCAAGATATGCTCGTAATTTCATTTCCACTTAACCGGACTGCTCGAAACCTTCCGCTAACCTCGACCAGCCCACCCGATGTGCTCGAGGATCCGCCGTACAGCTCGACCACCCGACGTGCGACTCGACCAGATTGCACACCTGCTCGAATATTACTCGAAAATCCACCGTACTGCTCGATCAAAACACAAGATGGTAGATCAATTCGAAGTTCCTCGGCCGGGACGGTTTTTCGCCGGAATATTCTCAAAGATTGCTCGGAAGTTCGTAGCGATTCGACCAGGTCCATGGCTCGAGGTCCGTCGCTCGCTCGACCAAATCTCTCTTCATCGCTCGCTCGACCAGATTTGCAGACATGCTCGTAATTTCATCGCGGCTCAACTGGACTGCTCGAAGCTTCTTGAAAAAGAAGTATTAGGGTGTGTGGTGGAGAATAAAGTGCTTCATCAATCTCTGTTATCAAGCTTTCAGATTAATTAACTTGCCAGTCTTCTCCATACTATGCCCATTTGAGTATGTACGGCCTGGAACTGTGATTCATTATCATCTTTGTTACTTTCTCTGTGCACGACTGCCAAAAATTCCTTTTCTTATCCAATCTACCTGCACGTTTTATGGTTGTGGATGAGGTCCACTTCCTAATAGTCCACTTTTTATTGCGGCCCAATTTCTATTAGTCCCAGTGCGGGCCGCGCGTACGGCCCGATCCTCTCACAATCCCTGGCCTTCTCAAGTCTGCGCCCATCCCAGAATTAGCCCACGCTGCCAACCTGTTAAAAAAGGCCCTTTAAATGCTCTTTAAAAGCCCATAAATGTAGCCTTCTGTGAGAAACGGCCCAGTGCGGCCCAAGTACTCATATAAGATATATTTTGTGTCCAAACTTCTTCTAGCTCGAGCCCGGATGACCCAACAGCCTTATTTCACGCTAATGATCAGTTTGGGAGGTAAATTTTGGTCAAATTCTCGTGATAGAGGTATGTGGTTAATTTAAATTATGGAATAAGAGTTTTAAATTAGAAAACGGGAAAATTGCTTGATCTACTCGCAAGAATTATTTGGTTATTCATGAACATTATTTGAAGTATTCAAGGAGATATTGTTTGACTTATTTAAGGAGATTGATTTATTCGTGGATATTATCTGGTTTGGTCGAGGAGACATCATATGATTTATTCGTGGATATATTCGAGTTGTTCGAGGAGAATTATTCGATATTTTCGTGAGAATTATTGGATTTATTAAGGAGTATTATTTGACTTGCTTGTGGAAATATTCGATTCGTTCGAGAAGAATTATTTCATTTGCTCGAGATATTATTTGATTTGTTCGTGGAATTACATGTTTTGTTTAAGAAAAATTATGTGTTTCATTCGTGGCGATGTTCGTTTGTTCGGAGAAATATTATTTGATATATTTACGGAAGATTATTCGACCGGATTGCGAAATTATTTGACTTGCTCGAGGACTTGAAATATATTTATATAATTGGATATCTTAATACACTTGGACCTTTTATTTGGATTTTCGTGTGGAAATGTGGAATTGTGTCGAATTGATTATTCATAATCTCTAAACATATCATTGCTCGAGCATATTTTTAGCCGAGAAGATGGTGATATTTATATTTGATCTCTTGCTTTTCTTGCGTGGAACATTACAAAACGGATAACTTGAATATAATGTGGATAATGATGTCTCTCTGAATTCTTGTCGAGGAAACAACGAAATAACCCGAGTCTGGACGAGCTATGGTGGACGAGCATAGATCCATAAAAGGTGGGGATAATGGAGGAAGAGCATGGATGATGTCGATCACCGGTAGCAATCTCAAAGACACAATCCATTCTCTTTTGGAGAGGTATGACAATGTAGAGTGGTATTCTCGACTGTCAGGTACAAAATTATTCTCAACTCTTGATTCGGTGGGCGAGTTCGATCGACACACAATTTACGGACACGTTGAGGCTCTCAACATTATTTTTTGGAGAAATGTTAATTATTTAAAATATTTTGGGCAAAATTGATGGCATGGTGAGGTACATGGGCATGTTTGGATTATTATTTCGATGACTGACAAAAGGATTGGGTGTTATTATATCTTGTCGTGTTCGATGTTTTCCTTTCCGACCTCAGTGGCAGGTCGAATAATTTGAGCGCACGGTATCATGTACAATCAGGAAAATGAGGTCGAGTACATTTGATATTTTTTATCTCTTTCGACGTAATTATACATTTGAAGACACTAACGGAAATGATCGATTACTATC